TCACTCGAGCGAAGCCTCCCTTCGAACCATCGATGACAACTCGTCTTGGGTTTCGGCTAGGAACAGCTGGGAGGCGATGCAATTGCATGAGACGAAAAATTCTTCAGCTTATCCGCCTTGGATGCGTAACAAAGGATGGCATTGGCTTCTTGAAGAGGGGACCACCATGGGCGATACAGAAGAGTCAAACATCAGCTCCAGTACTTTTATGGCCGTTCACATTAGTCTAGCTAAGAAGTTTATCACCTCCGCGGAAGGCATGGCAGCTTTTGGTCAGCAAGGCTATCTTCCAACGGCCTTGAGCGTGGATCGGGTCAGCCGAAATACAACAGCATCGAGCTTGATGATCGCCCTGCATCTTATCGCTGAGGAGGACAAACTCACCATTTTACTGCCCGAAGACTCAACTTCAGGTCAGAGCGACCTGACGGGTTTGCTCTGCCAGCTCGCCAGGTGGCTCGGATGGCACCGGTACGAAGCAATATACGAGCTTGGTCTACAAGCCCAGCTGCCTCCGCACGATAGTCCAGGTACGTGCCGAAAAGAAACACCTGGCTGGTTATTATCATTGCTAACGGCTTCCCAGTGCCATTTATTCGTGCCGATATCAGCGAGCCCACGAGCAATTACTGCATTTTAACTTGGATCCAAGCAAATTTGAACAATAAGCAAAGCAATGACTTCATCACACTGCCCGAGGTATATGCCAAGGCGACTGGCGACACCTTAAAAGACAGCCCACGAATGCAATTGTGGGACAGCCTCACTCCCCGCACACTCATGTTCGAGAAGCTTTTCACTCTGATCAAGTCAACGAGGAATCATGTGGAGATGGTGGTTGCAATGCATCAGTGTGGCTTCAACCCCCAGATTCTTGAGACTCTTCCAGAGGCGGTCATGACTCCGCTGCAAGACGTTATTTTCGTCTGTCAGCCCAACCCACCGTCAACTTGGCCGAAGAAGCTGCTTTCCCTCGTCGACCGCACTGACATTAGTGATGTTCTGCGGCAGGGCAAGGTTTGGCGGGCCACGGGCTCCGACGCCCATGCCCCCACACATATCGCGAGATGGGATTTCCGCATCTTGTGCCAGCACCTTGACGACTTCCATGATCAGGTTGAGGAGACCGATGGGACAGAGCGTCAAGCAGTCGTACGGACCTTATTCAAGGAAGACCGGAGACTGAACGAGGCGCAGAATTTGCTCTCGACCACGAAACCTCGAGTGCTCCGTCTTGATCACAAAAATGAGTGGACGGAGCCCGAATATCTGGAACGCCAGAAGGAGGTGGTGACGACAGTTGCCACCAATACCCTTGCCATCCCAGCAGGACGAGGTCTTCTTTACTATTCCCTACGCTATCCCCTTCTTACCCAGAAGTATCATATTTCCGGCTTCAACCTGACATGTTTCATCAAACCTGCTAATAACACGGTCGGCGTCGACAAGTCGTTGTTCACGGAAGAGAAGATAAATTGGGCGTTCTTCCATCAGGGTGTTGCCGGCGGGCTTGCGATATCGCCGCATGCCAAAGGTATTGACACCTCTTGGATTCTTTACAACAAGCCCGGGCAAGACCTCAGCAATCGTCATGCGGGATTCCTCCTCGCACTTGGTCTGAATGGTCACCTAAAGTCGGTTGCTAAGTGGGTGGCGTTTAAGTACCTCACCCCAAAACACACCATGACGTCTATCGGGCTGCTTCTTGGTCTGGCGGCGTCGTACATCGGCACCATGGACTCGCTCATTACGCGGCTACTATCTGTTCATGTGACCCGCATGCTGCCTCGGGGAGCCGCCGAGCTCAATCTCTCCAAGCATACCCAGACAACCGGAATAATGGGGATTGGGCTGTTATATTGCAACAGCCAACACCGGCGCATGAGCGAGATCATGATGTCGGAAATCGAGTACGCTGACGACGGCGACGATGAGGATCCCTTGCGGGATGAAGGGTATCGTCTAGCAGCCGGTTTTGCCCTTGGCTTCATCAATCTTGGCAAGGGCAATGATCTCAAAGGCTTGCAAGACATGCGCTTGACAGAAAAGCTCCTTAGCATCGCGACGTCGACGAAAAGTGTCGAGTTGGTGCACGTGCTCGACAGATCATCTGCTGCTGCAGTTGTCGCTATTGCCCTCATCTTCATGAAGTCGGAGGATCAGATCGTGGCACGCAAGATCGACGTCCCCGACACCATCCTTCAGTTCGACTATGTCCGCCCTGACATTTTACTGCTGCGAACAGTCGCAAAGAACATCATTCTTTGGAGCGAGATAGACCCGTCCTTTGAGTGGATCAAAAATGGGCTACCCAAGGAGTACAGAATGCGCTCCAAGCTCACCAATATCACTAGACTACGGAGCCGGGACCTTTCTATCTTTTCAATTGTGGCAGGCCTCTGCTTTTCCCTGGGCTTGCGCTTCGCTGGTTCAGCCAATGTCCAGGTTCGAGACCTGCTTGTCCACTATCTTGACGAGTTTATGCGCATCGTCCGACTTCCGGCTGGCAACTTTGACGCCGAGATGGCTCGAGGGAACGCACGTATGTGCATGGATATGGTAGCGCTCTCTTCTGCCACCGTGATGGCCGGCACAGGCGACCTCGTCGTGCTTCGCCGCCTACGCGCTCTGCACGGTCGCGACGACCCGGACACACCGTACGGCAGCCATCTCGCTGCTCATCTCGCGGTCGGCGCGCTCTTCCTCGGATGCGGCACCGCCACATTTAGCACCAGCAATCTCGCCATTGCCGCCCTCATCGTCTCCTTCTATCCCTTATTTCCGTCCACTGTGCAAGATAACCGCTCCCACCTGCAAGCATTCCGCCATTTCTGGGTCCTAGCCACGGACCCGCGCTGTCTGGTGACCAAGGATCTTGCCACGGGCCAGCCACTCAACGTGCCCGTGCTCATCGAGCTGAAGCCTGGCTCGCCATCTGCGGCTGCTGCTGCTGCTACCACCAAGGGGACAGCCTATGCGAAATCCCGCGCCGAACCGATCACAATCCGTCGGCAGACACCCTGTTTGCTACCGCCGCTCGACGACGTCACGCGGGTTAGGACAGACGCAGCAGGGCTGGGTTTCTGGGATCTCGCTATCGACTTTGCGCGCCAGCCAAGTCTTGTCGACGATTTTCACAAGAACCAGTCGCTTTATCTGCGGAGACGGCCGGCGTCGGAGAGCACTTTCCCCGCGACGCTGCGTGCTCTCGGCACCAGCGAGAAGACGGAACACGATCCGTTGGAGTGGCTGTTTGCGTTGGATGCGCTCAAGGACCTGACACATGCTGAGCGAGCGGTTGTTCTTGATCGGCTTGGGTCGGGCGGAGGTATCGGCGAGGGAGAGGGCGCCAGTACAGCGGTCGATGCGAGACTGGTTCTCCGCAATGGGTTGGATGGATGGTCGCGCGACAGGTTGCTGGGGCTTAGGTTGCTTTTTGGGTGGGCTGATAGAAGAAGTTCGCTTGTGTTGGCGAAATCGGGCGCCACCGGTGCTGCTGTCGATGATAGTGGTGGTAAGGCTGAGAAGAAAGAGAAGGGGAAGGGGAAGAGTGTCAAGGGTGGAAAGCGGAAGAAGGTGTCGGTTGCTACACCGCTAGAGACGGTTGATGCTGCTACGGTTGGGCAGGTGGCTGACAATGGGGGTTATTCTTGGTGGTTAAGAGATAGTATTATTGACGAGCTGAAAGGGAGGGCTTGGCTGGCTGGCCGGGAGGAGTAACATAGGGTAACAACAAAAGTATGGGGGGATTAAACGGGTTTGTGGGTGTACGTCCTTTATGCATAGTGGTTTATCTTGTGTTTTGGTGCAGTCAGGAATAGTTATGGAGAGGATATTATCTTTGGTAGATTAGGCGTGAGAAACCCGACTTTTATTGTTCCACGGGTTTTCCAAATCAGTGAGGCCGGATCGGAGCCAGTGGCACGGACAATATGGACCCACTTCTCCGGCTGCCAAGATGTCAGAAGCCGGGCCGGGCCGGGAAATCACAAGGATCTGTATCGGCAAACACCCCAGTACTTTCATAGTCCGTTGTAGACGAGAGGTCACAAAATAACCTAGCGGCTGACTCCCAACCATCGCTCTTATCCCAAAGCTATCCGGTCTCCGCTGCTGGCAGGGGATGTCCTGTCCGTTTTCCGTTCACTTGTATGCTGCGGCCAAATATACCTCTAGATGTCAATTGTCGACCGGCAGGATGGATGTGAGTTATCTTCCCATTCCGAGTAAGTCCCTTAGCTTTCACAGTTTTCACTGGCGTCACCTGAAACTACCTAAGGTAGGTTACTTTACTCGGATCAGTTCAGTCTTGAAAATGTTACCCTTTTTTCGTCAGGATCCGAGTAAGCTGGTGTGCAAGTCAATCGATGGATGGTTGGACTGACACTACCACTATTGGTTTGAATGGGCACATGCTCGAATTGTAGTTTTTTTTTTTTTTTTTTTTTTTTTTTTGTAAATCAGCTGGGCCGGTATCATCATGTCCTCTTTTCTTTCCCCGTAATAGACAACATTCGATGATTTTGTCCAAGTCAGCTCGGGTTTCAACTCTCCAACAACGGCAAGGACCTTGATCTACACTTAAGTTAACAGTTGTCATGATAAAGACATTCGTCGCAGCAGCTAGCCCTATTATTGCTGTTGGTAGTATTACTGGCGCTACTGCGGTTAGTTTACTTTTCTCGTTTATATGCTTCGTCTTATTTCTGGTCCTTTTTCCCTTTCTATCCAAACGTTTTTATATACCACTCATCTTCCTTACATACAAGCCTAGTAAACACCACTCTTTCTTCTGGTTTCTTTAGAAAGAAAGTGAAGAAAAATACTAATAGTAAGTAATAAAACAGCAAATGGTTAATTGGGATTCCCTCCTTAATAACTCATTCTTGTACGGGTCAGTTACCGCCGTAATACGGAATAGACTTTTCTGCGGGTGATAAAACAAGCCTATCACGAAAAATAAGAATGTTTAAAAAAGGAATGAGGTGTTAGGAAGAATTTGACTCGAGCGGGAATTGAACCCGCGCCTATAGTGTTGTTACCTGAGCAGCCACCTACACGAGGGGTAGTGTACAGGGTTATTCAAGTCATGTGCTGCCCACTACACTACCGTGTCAAATAAGTTTTCAGAGATTGAATTTCTAGACCTGGTACCCGTTACATTTTCTTTATCAGAGAGTTCTCTATGTTTTGACTATCAATTTCACCCGTAACATCGTTGCCTCATCGCGGCCTTTACGTAAAACATTCATGCCCTACATCACGTGTAAACTCTTATTCCAGCTGTTGTTTATTGCCCTTTAACCAACCCCCTAGATTCTCGTGACCTACACGGTACACCACCCTCATCACCTTATGTTACGGTAAAACATCTTACACCTTAGCAACCCTGGTCCTGAACACCAGTCGAGTGAGACCCAAAGTTCATCTTGCCCCTGAACCTGAACATGGCGCCACCGTACACCTCCTCGTTACACTTGGTGAAAATCTTGCCCATGTCGGTTGCGATGTCCTGGCAAAACACGGCCATCTCGTTGTTTTGCTACCGGAGTTAACATGTTAGCAAACGTACCATAACAGACATCATATGAACCAAGGGGCGTGTACCTGACTGCAAAGAAAGACACCGCATCTGTGAGAGCAGCTAACGCGTGAGCATACCCACGCAGGGGCACGGCACCACGCATTGCCCAGGCGTCTGAGGTAGGTGAGGCCCTCGATACAATCGCCCCAAGTGCGCACCCAGCCGCCCAAGTTGCACTCGTAACTCTGTCTGGCCTCCAAACCATTGCTGGGTGACTCAGACCGGGTGCCGAGGGTAATTTTGGTGTTCTCCTCCTTCCACTGGGCTTTGGTCACGCCCTTGGCCGCCTGGCTGGCCTGGAAGTCGGGAAAGTCCTACGGGTCGTACGAGGGGTTGAGCTTGATGATCTGCTCGTAGATCTCCTGTGCTGTGCCCTCGAGTTTGACCTCTGGTCCACCGACAACCAAGGGGCCGGCGAACTGCATCGGGACGAGAGGACTTGTTGGGCCCTCTTCGGCTGAGCGAACGCTGTAGCCCTCGTTGGCTGGGACGGCGATGACCTAAGTCATGAGGTTAGTATGAGAGGAGAGTGGTGGAGAGGTAGGAGTGAGGACTCACGGCCGTGGCCAGGGGAGGGTGATGGTGACGAGCAGCTTCATCGTGGCGGTTTTGAGGGAGTTGCTGAGTACGAAGATGCGGATGATAATTGTGAGGAGAAGAAGACGAAGATGAAGATGAGGATGAAGATGAAGAGATCAAAAGAGGTGGCGATCTTGCGCTTTTCCCCCCCCTTCTTATCCGTAGGACAATGATGCTACCCTTCAAATGCGCTCAAGACGATATCATGGGAAATCGACCACAAAGCGTTGGCTTCGATCGTGTTTCCATTGTACGCTAAAACGAAGCCATTCCCTACTGCTTCACCGACAACTCACACAGGTCCGCCAACCATCTCGCATGATCCTTCAATGTATGTCCGGTAGCATCGATATTAGCCCACATGATTAGGTAGGTAGTATTTCCTTTTTTCTGGGCGGTATCCTGAAAAAGGGCTCATCAGCGCGCATCACTACAAGGATTGGTGCAAAGGGGATCTCGAACATGTTCAAAAGTCAAGCTTCCTTCAGTATCAATTTCAAATAAACCCCTACCGGTTACCGCGGTATTGCTTGCCACACAAACAACCGCTACGATGGTATATCCCAGGATTTGTGGGGTCGAGTTAAAATAACCCAAGGCGTGATGGTACACCTGGGCACCGGTATCGACATCCATCCGAAGACGGCCTGCTTAGTGGGATTGATTGCTTGGCTGCTCACACTCTACCTTGGCATCTAGATATTCGTACCTATCGGCCTTCTTCACGCATACATGTGCCAGCGCAATGGCAGGACAGGCGCCAAGTCAAGGTAGGTGGAATTTGCATTCTTGTACCTGCGGTTGTTCACTTATCGATGGGAGTTTATTACTTAGTTTCGCCCTAGATTAAGAAGTCAATATCCTAGATCTGCGGGAAAGAATCAGTGGTCGTCATATTTATAAGACTATTGGCAATAACTGGGTTCGAAAGAATATGCGATACAAATAATAGTTATACGACAGGGAGACGCGCGATTAAGGGGAGGACGTCGTAGTCCAACCTAGGATAAAGGAACTCTCAGAGGAACAGTATAGATAATAGGGTATGAGTGCATCGTTTCTTCGGGGCACAGCCACGATGACCGTCTATCCAGGTACCGGGGAAGATGTATAGCCGTGCCAGCCTCCTCAACTAGTTGTAGACCTGGTGCCTTCAACCAACTGTCATTGGGTCAGTATTATTCGGGACTAAGCAGATTCTCGCACTGGACCGTCTTCCACCTTGGATTTGGGTCTGGCGATGCTTGGCGTGGCCCACCCCTGCTTAGTTCGACGACCAAAGAGTTACGGACTGGGCCGGAAGTAATTGTCCGATTGTTGAGGCCTTAAGGATTGGACGGACCTCCGGACTATCTAAGGTAGGAGTTGGTTTCATTGTCGAGGCACGGTTTTAACAACTTTGCTGTCCATGGCCAAAGATTGTTCTCGCTCGCTTCATACCAGGGTCCAGGTACACGCGTACGGACGAAGAGGACGCGTCGCTCACGGCACCGGTGGCGGAGAAACGACAAGGTTGGCGACCTTTTCGCAGAAGGTAGACCTCATTGTCAGGATGGACCTTCACTTACCTACCTAGGGAAATGTCACATCAGCTGAAGGTTAAAGAGGTAAATCTCGAGAGGGACGGACAGTTACCGCATTTTGTCGTTGTCTACTAACTGTCTCCTCCTTAGCATGGTGTTCAAGGAAGGCGTAACAAGCTTAACCCAGCCCTCTCTCGTCGTCGTTATCTGATCCCATGACAGCAGGGGCTCTACCGTACCTATACGTAATACTCTTAGTCGTTGAGGCTGGATCCGAGGCCAAGACTCGAGCCACATAAGTATTGTTGCAGGTTGCATAATCCGTATAGACCGCATATGTGAATAATTGAATATAATCCCCCTCTCTACAAAATAGTAATACTGCTAAACAACCCAGCCGCATTTGCCTCCTCAACAGCCTGCACCCTCGCCGACTCGGGAATATAAGCGCACCCAACCATCTCATAGTGTTCTCTGGCCCCTCTTCTCAAAATGAACGGCCTGTTCGCATCAGGAAAAAGCAACGCGACGACATCGCCCGGGCGGATGTCCCCCTCGCCAATGCCGTAGTACGTACCGCTCCGGCCCGTGAAGAAGGATCTCCCCGCACAGAACGCGAGACGGATATTCTTCGCCATAGAATTGCTCGAGATATGATTCAGGTAGGCCACCAGTCGCGGCCGGGCAATCCACCACGCGTTGGGGCGCTGCGTGTCGACGAAATCCTTCGACATGGCGAGGTGGGCTGAGAACATGGCCTGACACTGCTCATCGTCCTGGAACTCGGCGTTGTTTGCCAAGGAAAGGAGAAGAGTCTTCCAGAGCGGCCCAGGTTCTGTGGCTGTTGCTGGTCGGGTGCGGTCAGCCAGGGCCATGACACCGAGGAGAGTTTCGGCTTCTTCGAGGAGCATTGCCCTGTATCTCCTGATCTGGGGGGCGTTCCAAGGCGGTAACGCCCTGCCGAGAGTGACGAGGTAGAACGGCAGGCTGAAGAGCGCAAGGAACGCGATCTGGGGGTAGGCGTGGATCGGAAGACTCTGATCATTTGTTGGAGCGAAGGGACCTTGGACAACGTCTTGCACTCGGTCGAGAATCAGTCCCCGCACCATGAGACCCCTACCATCGGGCGTCAGATTGACGTCTTCTCGTCTATGTGATGGAAAGTCCGTTAGTTGTCCGTTTCCGTAGAGCCAGGGTAAGCCGGGGAACCCATCGTGCGAGGCTGAAAAGTCGGGAACCCAAGACGGCCGGCCTGGGGCGTGATTTTCCATAGGACTATTATTGCCAGCAACAGCCTGGCGGCGGAGTGCTATGACCGAGTAGAAGGCTGTCGACTGAGCCTCTTCTGTCTGTGAACGCTCTGGTGCGGTGCCGTCGGGCAATCGGAGGGTTTCCGACCACTCAGGGGTGGCTTGCGCTTCTTTGAGCAGATAAACTGTGGCATCACGAAACACTTGCTCAACGCTCTTGGTGTAATCGGGTCGAATCAGGGGATGGGCTCGCGTGTCCTTGTGTGCCATGGCAAGAACGCCGTAGATCTTATCTCTAGCATCCGTCGCGAGAAACGGCCTCGTTGCATAGAGCAGATAGGCCAGGTCGTAGTGAGCGGGGTCAGGCGCATGCTTCTGGATCCCTCGCCGTAGAGAGTTGAGCATTGTCAGCGTGCGTTGATATACTCTCCACTTATCGAGGTCGAGTGCTCGCACACTAGCCGGCATCTGTCCTGGTTTCACACCCTCAGACCCTTGGGCTGCGTATAATTAGCTCTAGCTATCAAAATTAGGAATGCGCCAACACTTACAGAAGGGAAAAGCCTCTCTATAGGAACCCATAAGACAATCCCAACAAACTGGGGGTGCAAACCCGCAACTGATGAGAGGTGCGTTCCGATTCAAGACAAACTCCTGGATGATCCAAGTCCGCTGGAACCACGGCCGATCCAAAATCCCAAGCATACCACGAGCAAAGCGAGCTGTAGTGAAATCCCCGGCGCTATATCGATGAATGCTCTCCATGGCATAGTCGGAATCGGGAGTGCCGCCGCCGAGCCAAACCAACACGCGGGCAGCTGATGTGTAAATCTGGCCCATGAGCATCACCTGGGCTCCCTTCTCAGCATCATTTCTCTGGTCGATGCAGACCGAGTCGATCCAGACATCCCTGGGCTCGGTATCGTTCCGAACGGCCACCAATAGGTCGTAGGCAGTGGGTTGAATGTGCAGCTGCCCGCTGTCGACGATAATCGTCTTGGGCTCCTTGCGTGGACCCCAGCAGTAGGATAACGCTGTGAAGCCGCCTCCAATATCGTCGCCGCCGCTGGCGGCCAACGCAACCGTCCTAAAACTGCATCGAATAGGTGCCGGTCTCGGACCAGGCTGTATTGTGAGGATCCGGACATGGTTGTCCTGCACTGGCTGGTATTGGAACTGG